CGGCCAGGGTGACGGAGGGCGTCGCGGCCATGCCCTTCCTGCAGGAGAACCTCTACTCGGCACAGCAGCCCGGTAAGGCCCGCCCGCCGTCCGTCCGCACGCCGCTCCTCGCCTTTTGCTCATCGTCGCTGTCGCCCGCGCCAGCTCTCTTCCTGCTGGACAACCGCATGGAGGTGTACCTGTGGCAGGGCTGGCAGCCCGAGGAGGAGCGCTGCACGGGCTCGGCAAAGATGCGCTGGGACAACGAGAGGAAGTGCGCCATGGAAACGGCGCTGCAGTACTGCCAAGGTCGGCCGTCTTGACATCGCCGTACGTACGTGTGTCCGTCCGTCCAGCTGCAATTATTCTGACACTTCCCCGCTTGCGCTTGTAGAAAAGAGCTCTCGGCGCCCCCCGCAGGCGTATCTGGTCACGGCGGGCTGCGAGCCTCTCACCTTTACCAATATCTTCCCTTACTGGCAAACGGACCCCAGCGTTGGCTCCAAGGTGAAGAATCGTTTCTTGGCCGTCATTGCCACTTTCCACGCTTGCCTCACATGCTTTTTTGTTTTTTTCCCCTCTCTTTCGTTTGTTCAGACCGAGGGCTCCAAAAACAAAGTGACCTTAGTCAAGGAGGAGCTGTCCAAGCTCAGTAAGCTCCGGTACTCTCTCGAGGAGCTCACCGGGTCGCCCCTGCCCGACGGAGTGGACCCTCTCCGACTGGAGGATTATCTCTCCGACCAGGACTTCAAGGTAAGGGGGGTGGTGGCGGGGCTGACTTTGGATGGAGTCCAGAACAAGCTTGTAACATTCCTCTCGCGATTTGTTGTCCAGAAACTCCTGGAGATGAGTCGGGTGGAGTTCAACGCCTTGCCAAACTGGAAGCAGAAGAACCTGAAGAAAAGCAAGGGTCTCTTCTAAAAAAAATCACCTCATTTTGTAAAACAAATGTACAATTGTGTATAGTGTTTTTGAATGCTAATGATAGCTAAATAATCATGTGCAGTTTTTAAATTCATCTTTGTTTGTGTTCCTCTTGTGCTAAGCCCTTTGTGCCCATATCGCGTCATAGTTTGAAATATCCTCTCCAATCGTCTTTAAAAAAAAAAAAAATGCTTGTGGTTAAAACGTGCGAGTTATTCTTCCCCCCTCCCCCTTCAACTGTGTCCTTGGTGAGCAAAGTGAATTCAGTTACATGCTTTAGGCGTTGCAAAAAATGTTCTCTCTATACTCGTTTCATTTGGTCATAAAGAACGGAGGATTATTTGCATCCACCTTCACGAACTGAACTACTTCTTTGGGACCAAATTTTTTGTGTCAATATTTTTGACACAAAAAATTTTTTTATTCATTGTAAGTGTGTTTGTGTGTATTGAGTCATCACACATTCCGCAAGGCATGAGCCTTTTTTTTTTTTTTTTAATACATGTCGCATGGCTTCCTAACCACTGTTTTATTTTCTGCATTATGATTATGTTTGTATAAAAAAATATATGTAGATGGATGGCAGTTTTTATCATTTTTGGCACATGAAAACAAACGTGAATAAAATGTTTGTTCAAAAAAATGTCATGCTTTCGCATAGTTTGGACTTGACGTTGTAAGAGAGGAAGAAGCCAACAAGGCACCCTCCGGTGAAAACAAATCTGTTGAAGTGTGGGTGCGGATTGTTTTGATGATCAACATCTGCCTTGGTCCAGGACGCGAGCGCGGTGTTTCGCCGTCCCTTTCTTTTGGCTTTCCATCTCAAGAATTCAAGTAAGTTCGCGTCTCGTTTTGAACGCGCCCGCTCCCGTTTGTCTGTCGCTCACTGGACGTTTTGTATGCAGGTGGCTGCAACGTTGACGTCTGTCCGCCAGGCGGCGATATGTGATCTTCTCATTGACGCCGTGCCGCAGCTCATCGCGTTTCAGGTAGGACGACGTACTGGACGCAGTGTGAGAGATAAATGTGCAAGTTGAGGGGTTCCTTGTTTTTAGCGGAGGGCTCTACTTTACGAACGGCAAAAGGAGAGATGGAATCCTTTAAATGCACTTTTATTTAAAGGGGGAAAAAAAGACGTCTGCACCGCAGCACGTTTGAGAACACAACTCTCGTAACTAAAATCACTTCCTGCTTCTCTTACTTCAACAGCCAATCAGAACCTATCAACATAAAAACACGTCTAAGCAATTATTAAACAACGGAATAGAATTTAGGTATGCTTAACATGAAATAATAATTAATAAGCTTACAAATGTTCCGCAAATCTACTGTCACTGTTTGTTTTGGTATGGGGTTTTGTTTTCCTTTGGGTAGTCCGTTTTAGCGACCGCGGTACGAGGAAGAACTTCCGGGACGGCCAATGTGTCGTATAGTCAACAATTGGACACACCGAGTGTGTTTGAGAGCAGGTAGAATTTCTTTTTTTGGGCAGGAGGGGGGGAAGCTTCGTTTTATACATTTGTGGGGGTGGAACAGGACTGTTCACACTTGCGGTGTGTGTGGAATTTACAAGACCTTTATTTTCACTTTCTGTCATTTGTTCGACTACGACGAGATGAGTTTGACTTTAGTTTCCAGTACGCTCGCTTAGCCCCTTTTGCAACCTTGGGCGCGCGCGCAGAATGAAAGGAGGCTGAAAATTCCCAAGCCAACCACGTGAGCAGAAGCATGGAGCGCGCAGCAGCCGTGTGGATCGGCGCACGCGCGGGCGACCAAATAAATAAATAAATCAAAAGCTGCGCTATCAACCGCGACATCAGGCCGGCTTCCTGCGGATGACAGATTGATTGAAACCTTGACCCGGAACCCTCATCCATCATTCCGGCCTGTTTATAAAGTCTTCATAAATACCATGCGATTATTGTTCTACTACGCGCCGCTGCATCGCCGCACCGGTCCTCCGATTCATGAGCTTGTTTCTGGTGTTTCTACATGTTCGTGCCAAGCTAGCTGACTTTTAGGGCAAGCGATGCGCGATGTGCTCTTTTTCATCTCGTCCTTCTCTTTCTGGTCATACTTTTCAAGGGTTTCCCCTTTCCAGGTGGAAGCCGCCGTCGCATTAAAACCAGCTTCAGATCTGCAATCCAGCTTTGAATATTCTCAAAACCGGCCCAGAATTGTTCTTTATTCCCCTGCCGAAAAGTCATTTTCTTCATACCAACAAGGAAACATCAAGTTTGCTGCTGGTTGTTTTAGCCGCCTCCGCGCCATTTATTTGGAGCTATTCGTGAACACCAACGTCCAGCAAACGTTGATTTAGTCATCAGCTTTTCATGAATGTGAAGAATGTTAAACATTCTAATGTGCTGGATGTCAGCTGCCCGCCCCCTGCCCCCCTTTCAACTTCACAAAAAAAAAAAAAAAAAAAATGGCTTCATGTTCTGCTCGCTGATTTCTCATTTCAAGTCTCCCAGAAAAGCGATAGCGGAGAGAGAAAGGATCAAGGTTGTCCTCCCTTTGATTGCAAGAAAACGTGAAAAAGAAAACAAAATCCTCTGCGTCAAAGAAACCTTCTCTTTAGAAAGCCTTGCTTTCTGCCACGGGTCTCAAACTCGTGGCTTGCCAAACAAAACCGTCTTGTTACCAAGTAGACTTCAATGTATTCGCGCCTTCATTGCCAAAAGCCATCAAAAGAAGGAAACGTGTGTGTGCGCGTGTGTGAATGATGTGGAGTATGGAAGCAGATGGAGCCTTTGACAGCATTTGAGGAGGAGGAGGCGACATTTGCAGTGATGTCACTCAGTCAGCCCTCTTCCTGTCTCCCCTGCCTAATCGAATCAAGTCGCCGTGGCGCTCTCGAGCCCGCTCTAATTCCATCAGATCCGGATCCCCGCGCTGCCGGGGGAGGCCGGGTCGTGTGTCTCTTAAAACGTGCAGATCGAACGGCAGGTGCGGTCCGATTCGCAAGTTCTGCCCCCCGCCGCCCCCTGCCGCCATCTGCCACCGACCTTGTAGGCGACCCCTTGTGGGCGGTCGAGCACGAACAAGGGAGGTGAAAAACAACCCCAAAAAAAAAAAAAAAAGGGCAATCATCGTCTTTTGTCGTGGTGAATTTGTAGCCATCAAGAGTCGCTCCACGACGACGCTCGCCCCCTCCCAGAGGGATGATGTGACGGACTCGGGGTCCGAAGCGGCGGCGCCGCTGGAGTTGAGCGCTCCACTTTTCAAAGCGCCGTCCATCTCATTGCGTGGATGTCGACGTGGCAGATCGTCGGAATAGCCAAGCGGTGTTTGGTGCTTCCCCAAAATGCCTTTGGACGTATCGAACGCCATGTTGCTGTCAATCAACACGACACAACAGGAGCGGTCGCTGCCTGTAATTAACGGCAAGCCGGCATGCAGCCAGAGTCCGTGTTTGAGTCATGACACAAACGGCGCAGAACACCAGATCGGGTTTGTGTGTGTGTGTGTGTGTGTGCGCGCGCACCCGCGTTCCACTTTTGTGCAGCGCCTCAGAGGGAATTGTGTTTTATGTTTGCATGGCTGAGCAGTGCATGACAGGCAGCGAGCCCCGACTGCACGTCGGCATGTTTTTGAGCACGAATGCGCATTTGTTCGTTGGCGCGCGTTTTCTCTACATATGCTCCTCATGTTTACTCCGATCACACAAAACAAATCTCGCACGTCCGCTGAAAGAGTGTGTGGCGTTTGTAGTGTGAAAAGTTTGACCTCTGCTGTCTTCAGGTACCAGTGACCCGATTTGAATTTTGAATCTCGATGTGTGGTGGCGAGGACCGATTTCATCCGCCCGCTTCCCCCGCCGTGCTAAATTAGAGCTCAATCGAGTGCTTTTGCCTGCATGCCGACGGAGAGGAAGCTGAGGCACTTGATTTTGCGTCCATGATCACAGCAGAGCTTCACAAGAAGTGTCGCCAGACCCCCGCACCCCCGCGCATGAGCCAGGAATCCAGCCAATCCATGCAGTCCACGCGGCAAAAGATAAAGGCGTCGCCTCGTTGAGCGAGTGACCTTGGGCCCGGCCCGTCAACGCACGCGTGGGCTCCTGGGACCGCGCGCGGCCTCCAATTAACGGACCGAAAAGGATGCGCGTCATCAAAAATGCCGTCTTGGCTCATAAGTCGGTCGTCTCAAGTTTTGCCTTCACGGGACAAGTTCCCGTGGCGGGAATGAAGCCGATTGGAGACGAGGCCCGCTAAAAATGGCTCCACTTTCAGGGCTTGGCGTTTGCATTCCTCTTTTGGAATTTGCACAAGTCGACCGGCGCGCTTTGACGCCAAGCCGCGCAAACTCGAAGCGTACACCCTGAAGACGATGAACTCCCGGTTCCGTGGAAGCAGATGGTCAAAAAGCATCGCGGCCGCCTGCGCCGCACGCGCAACGACGTGCCTCGCTTTTGTCCTCGGGACGAGCCGGCTGTGGAAACGTTGCGTCACGTAAGGAAAGCAATCGGGCGGCCATCCCGCGCGCCAGCCGCCGTCCTCCGGGAAATGGGACCGTTTCAGATCCCGCTGCGAGCGGAGACATTGGCCGGTGTTTCTCAAAGGTCGCCGGCGCAGCCCGAGGCCGCTTGAACGGACCTTAAGTCCACTTGAATGCATTCGCCTTGACCTCCGCGACCGAAAAGGACAAAGAGGCCCGCGCCCGCCTCTTCCATGCGTACTCACGGGCCGTCACATGAGGTGCGGCTGCTCAATGTTTCGATTTCTTTCTTCTCTTTCAGGACTGCGCTGCGTCATGCCGCTTGGGGATCAAAATCCAGTCCGGCGTCGTCAAGGAACTGCGCCTTCTTATTTGGGCATGGAAAGACTTGAGAAGAGAAGCCAAGAAAGCAGCTCTCCCTCCCTAACTCTGGTATTGCCTGTCGTCTCGACACCACATTCTCTCAT